AATTATCCCAACCGCATGCAGCACCCTCCGCCGCCTGAGCTGCGCGAGCGCGAAGCCTCGCTCTTCCTCCGCCGGCGCTCGGGCGTGCGCGGTGCGCCAATCGTCTTCCTCCCCTCCTCCACTGTGCGCCGGGGCCGGGGAAGAAGCCTGCCGAGCGGGCACCGGGGTCGGGCGGAGCTCAGCCGCGCGCGCCAGGGGGCAGAGACGGAGCACAATGGGGCCGCCTGCGCGAACTAGGGCCGGGCGGAGCCGGAGCTCACTAGGTCCGGCGCGGCTCCTCTTCTCCCTCGCGCATGCAAAGCTCATCTTCGCACCCACCTTCTTCGTCAACTCCGACGGCGAGCTCGCCTTCTTCCTCAACTTCGGCGGCCGAATAGCCTGAGCTCCTCTTCTTCCTCATGCTTCCAGGCACGTGTTCAAAGCCCTAGTTTGGTTTTGGCTAATTGATGAAACATATTGGACTAACCCTATATCTAAGTGTGTAGATGAGATAGGTTGGTCCAAGCCCAAGATGGAGATAGATGGCAACCATGATGATAAATGGTGATGGGCACAAGTGATGGTGATCGAGTACTCCACTTCGAAAAGAAGAAAGAGAAAAACAAAATGGGCATCAAGGCAAATGTATATTGAAAAGGGCCATTTTGTTTGGTGATCAAGACACCATAGAGAGTATGATCACATTTAGGATTGATTGCCATACTATTAAGAGGAGTGATCTCAAAGCAAATGCGATTATCTAAGTGCCACTAGGTGAATGAATTCAATGCATTTGCATTAGGACCTAGTGGGTGCTAACATCCCTTGAAAAACAAGTTTGTGAAATGCTAACTCACGTACACAAGTGGTGGAACTTGGTAGAGATAGCACATTTGCACAAGGGATGAAGTTGACACAAGATAGAGCTTGCTTGGTTACATCGGACGCTGGCTAACTTTAGCCCAGTCAAAGCTATAGCTTTGCATCGGACGATAACGAGTGAGGGCACCGGACGCAACGCTGGCACTGTTCACTTGGCGATCGTGCTGAAGTGTGTGCATCGGACGATGATTAGGGTCCGATGGACCCCCATCGGATGCGTCCGATGTGAATTTGAGCGTTCTAGAACCTCTTTGGATCGCATCGGACACTGGGACCGTTATGTCCGATAGAGACGGATAACCCTGTACGTCGTTAGAGTAGTAGTCGATAGCATAGACGAGGTGTTTAGGCTAAAGACCACCTTCGTTTGCCTCGTGCCCCACGGTTGAGGGTAGGTTATAGATGATATCCCTGTCCGTCCCTCGTCCTCCACGTTTGAGTTTGTCGTAAAGCGACAGGCCAGCATCCAGTAAGAGATACATCCTGTTTTCGGCTTTCATTTACACAAGTGATAAGCCAGCAAGTGCAGATTTATTGTAAGTGTTTTTCACTGTACCAAGCCATGGCTGATAAGCCTGGCTATACATCGAACGCTGTTGAACCAGTAGCTAGTGCCTTCGCTATTTTATAGCGCCACAGCTTCTGTTACCCACATGGGAACGCGAGGTGGTGCTATTTGCACTGCAACTTGCCTCTGCGGTGCTGACTGCTGACACCGTGGGCTGTTTTACCAACTTTGCTGGGCCAGTAGAAGCAGATCGACGGCACAGTAGCACACAACAAGGAATGCTAGAATTTTTTACAGCCGCTCGGCATGCATGCGGACTGGACGGAAGCCCTGTAGGCTGTAGCCATATACCATGCACGTTTCAAAAATTTATTATTTTTCTCATTTTCACCTTTGTTGCTACGTGATTGTGTAAGATTATGAACATGTCATGGGTTTGTAATAATTACAATTTGCCTACATATTGTGTATGGACCGGGTTTTAAAAACCTATGGGTTTACGGGTTTGGGTACTACACTCCCAAACCCATGCCCACAAACCCACTGGGTCTAGTCTTTTGCCCATTAACAAACCCATGGTAGATAAATTGACCCATATCATTGCCCTAATAGGGTAAAAACCCATCGTGTTTCGGGTTTCGGGTACCCGTTGCCATCTCTACTTGGCAGACCAGGTGATCTCTGGTGCCCGAAGTAAGCAAGTAGGAGTAGAGTTTGTCTATCCTTATGAATCCATCTCAACCTCTACCAGTTCTATCCTTGTGTTGTCCTTGGACGAACGTTCCCCGTGGAAAAATATTTAGGGTATCGTTAATTTATATTTTTCTAAAGAAAAGCATGGTGTAAAAGTCTCTAGTATGGATATGGATAAGATAATATACTTGCATAATAAACCAAAGTTCATAGCATGGGTAAACATGGTATAGTTCAAGATAGTGTGACGTACACACGAGCCTATCTAAGGGGTAAAGATGTAAGAAAGAATAAAGAACAAAAGAATAGAGCAGGAATATCTTAATATAACTATGCAAAGAATAGCAAGAACATTATACAAATACATGATTAAGATCTAGCTCTAAGCATGAAATGAATGGAGAGACCTCCGAGTACTGGTCTGCCAGCAACCTCATGAGGCAATTTACGAACTCCTATACGAATACCCGAATATGGGGGCTTACAATGGACGGTAGAGCTGTCACCACCTGCCGCCTACCCCTCAACCGTGGAGCACCATCACATCTGAAGGTTCCCGTATAACTGAGCACCATGCCCGTGTATAAAGAAACTACCCGCATCCCCCCAGGACTCCGACTCTACGGATCGACAAACATAGGACACGGGCAAACCCAAAGGAACGACGAACCGCCACCTCAACTTAGCTCTAATTCTAACCATGAATGTTGTATGAACGATTAAGCATAAAGTTATATATGCTAAATGACCAACATAAGAACTTTGCTCTAATTCATAAGTATAGCTATAATTGTGCGTGCTAAGAACAGCGGGGTTTCAATCTCAACCATTCGGCATAATTGTGCGTGCTAAGAACATGAACAAAAACACACGGTACAAAGATTGTATGAAAAAAGCTTGTATGTATGTTAGAGAAGAGTGTTACTTATTGTACTCACAGATACGAAACTACAGAATGTCCAGATAACCACTAGAGCTACAAAAACTTACCTGCATAATATTACCAAAACATACCGATCCCACAGAACTAAATTCCTCATCCAAGTTTGTACAGGAGTGCCAGGTATGTCAACAAGCCAAGGTGGAACATGTCAGGCCTCCAGGTCTCTTGCAACCTCTCACTGTACCCACTCAGGCATGGCAAGTAGTGTGCATGGATTTTATTGAGGGTTTGCCAAAATCCCAAAAATTTGACACAATTATGGTGGTCATTGATAAATACACGAAGTATGCTCACTTCATTCCATTAGCACACCCCTTTTCAGCCTTGACTGTGGCTCAAGCCTACTTGGACTCAATATACAAATTGCATGGGTTGCCACAAGGAATTGTATCTGATCGAGATAGAATTTTTATAAGTGCTATTTGGAGGGAGCTTTTCAAGCTGTCTGATAATCAGTTGCTCATGAGTTCATCATACCATCCACAAATGGATGGACAATCAAAATGACTAAATCAGTGTCTCGAGGGGTTCTTGAGATGTGTAGTTAATGCTTGTCCTCGCCAATGGAATAGGTGGTTATCTGTTGCTGAACTCTAGTATAACACCAACTACCATTTTGCGCTAGGTCGGTCTCCGTTTGAGGTCCTCTATGGTCATCAACTGAGACTATTTGGATTGGCTAATGAGATTCAGCTACACTCCGGATTTAGAGCAGTGGCTCTCAGAGAGGCATCTCTTGAAAGATGTTATTCAGCATCATCTTCATCGGGCACAGCAACGGATGAAATCTTATGCTGACAAAGGTAGAAGTGAAAGGGAATTCCAAGTGGGAGATATGGTGTATCTAAGATTGCAACCCTATATTCAATCTTCAGTTGCACCAAGATCAAATCAGAAGCTAAGTTTTAGGTGTTATGGGCCATTCTCTGTGTTAGAACGAGTTGGATCTGTTGCATACGGACTACAGTTGCCATCGGAGTGCAAAATTCACCCGGTGGTGCATGTCTCTCAACTCAAGCGTCATGTGCCACCATCGGTTCAAATTGAAGATATATCACTCAGGTTCCCCAGGATCTAGAATGGGAGGTCATGCCAGTACAGTTTTTGAGCTCCAGGATGTGCAGGCGTGGCGCATCGACTGTCTCTCTGATCCTGGTGCAATGGGATGCACTGCCACCATCTCTGGCAACTTGGGAGGAGGCCGAAGACCTCCGAAGGCGTTTCCCAAGATGCCCAGCTTGTGGGGCAAGCTGGTTTTCGTGGAGGAGGAAATGTCAGGTCCAGAGACAAGGCGAAATAGAAGTCTGAAGCTTATCCGACAACAGGCGAAGGTGAAGCTTCTTCAACGAAAGGCGCGGGTAACCTGTTAAGTGGCTGATGGGCCCTGTAGTTGTCTTTTCTAGAGCTGGTCTGGTAGTTGGACTGGGCCGTTGTGCCGTTCTGGTGTCGGTGATCGGGCAGTATATAAGCCCGCTGTAACTGAAGTATCAGGCATCGATGAAGTGAATCCTGAATCTGTAACTGCCTAACATTTCGTTAGAAACCTTTCTCGTGCTGTTCTTGCTATTCGTCTCGATTCCTTGCTGATTTCTCTCCCAAACTCTATCCAATCTAGTTATCAATTACGTTCTGATCCAGAACGTAACACCACAGAACTAAATTCCTCATCCAAGTAGATTTGTCCATCTTTGCATACCAACTACCAAGCCTTCATCCATATATATGCCATAGCTCCTCACTATAAAATGAAACAATCTTGTAGCATTGTGATTATTACAAGGTAAAGAATCCAAGGAGAAGCCATCCAGGCCAATGTGGTCAAGCATATGGCAATTGTTCCATGCCCCCAATTCACACTAACGTTTCAACTATGTATATACTTATAAGAGCTATATTATCGTTCCCTTTAATTAGCCCCAAACATTTTATTTTATTTTAGCTGTATACATACATACATACACACACCGGATGATATAACAGGAAGAAGAAGCATGGTCATGCCGCCGCTGCGGCTCCCTCAGGTTCCTTCTCCTTCTTGGCCACTTCGTCCTCCTTATCATCATCGTCCTCCTCAAGCTGCGCGACAAGATCCTCTAGCACCACAGACTTGGGGTTCACCATGGGCGCCCCCTTCTCCCTACCCTCGAGCTCGTCGAGATTGAAGGTGATGAGCATGTCCCAGATTCCTCCCTCAAAGAGCACTGCAACCTTGCCGTCGGTGACACGTGTTGCATGATCCTTGAGTACATGTGGCGGCGTTGTTGGGGTTCTTCACCAAGCACCACCATGCCCGGCAGAACACGGTGGCAGCTCGGCGTCATGTCCATGGGCGTGCGGAAAGCGTGGCTTGGGGGGCAACAAGCTGGGAATCTGATTTCTTGGAACGAGGAGGCGGCGGGTTCTTGGCGGCGAAGTCCTTGAGGGCGACCTCGCCCGGGGAAGCCACTGTGAGCCCCATCATCTCCTTCTCGAATGTGTCCAGATCAACCGGGGCGAAGGAGTATCTGTCGAAGGAGAAGGAGAGGGCGCGCAGGCGAGGAGGTGGGGAGCAGAGGCGAGTTCTTTTGAGATGTTGACCTCGCCGTTCAGAGAGGCCCGACCGCCAAGTATTTCGGAGAGCGGAAGGAGGCGGAGGGAGGCGAAATGGAGGCGAGGTGTGGGTGGTGTGGCGGTGGTGGGTGGAGGAATGAGGAGGCTGGTGGCGGCGGTGCCATCGGAGGAACGGAGAGGGCGCCATGCAGCGAAGCGAAACAGACAAATTCGGGATGTTCACTGGTAGAGAACCGAGCTTTACTCCCGGTGGGGAACCCCCTCTAGTCCCGGTTCCCCACCCGGGAGCAAGCATCCGGGACTAAAGGGGGGGTCCTTTAGTCCCGGGTCAGGAACCGGGACTAAGGAAGACCTTTAGTCCCGGTGGGTAACACCAACCGGGACTAAAGGTGCCTCTGACATGCCACGACGATGGCGGCACCTTTAGTCCCGGTTGGTAATCTAACCAGGACTAAAGGTTTTTTTTTTTCTTTTCTTTTCATTTTTTGTTTTCTTTTCAAAATAGGTTTTGAAATCGTATTTATGTACTGCTAATGATACATTTATACGCGCATATAGTATGTTTTGGTTCAAGCACAATGAACATATTAAATCACACAATTCAAGCATAGAAAAATATATATATATATATATATATATATATATATATATATATATGAATGCATGCATATATATATTTACATGCATGCATGCATATGTGTATTTTACATTATATTATTTCATGTGCATATATTACAAAAGATTGCATTACAGTTGTTGTGACATAACAAGTTTCCTCTCATCCTCTAGCTTGGCTTCAATGGCAGTGTTGGGTCGAAGTAGAACTCGCCCTTGGAATCGATGACCTGCTCATTAAAAAATCCGGCTATAGACTCTTGAATTGCTTTGATTTGGTCTTGCCGTATGACCTTTTCCTCCAACCATCGAGTCTCTGAGTGTTTGAATTAAAGGAAAATAAATTAATATATGTACATATATATATATATAAAGACATAGTAACACAATCAATAATAATAATTAAATGAATATATAGTGTGTTTTTAACGTACTTTGAGTCTCTCTGTAGGAGTTCTTTGGGAGAGCACCTTGATAAACTTGCAAACATAGTAACCACGTAGTTGTTCCCTGTTCTCGCCTTTTAGACACCACTTTTACGAGAAAAGATTTGTCATCCAATCTGGTGATCCGGTGAAAGCTATATGTTTAATTAATAAAGATGATGCGATTCAGGGGACTTACTTTCAAAGGGATTACATTCAGTGGCGCTTTGCATTTTCCATGTGTTGCTTCTCAATAAAGGTTTTCCAAACAACGCCCAATAAAAAATTTGCCACGTCATGAGATATAGTTAATCATCATGTTTGTGTGTATATATAGTTGCTAGAGATCCCGAAATTACCTACGGATAATATCTATCATATCTTGGTAGTCTTGTTGTGGTTTTCTCATCGAGTCATAGATTATCAAGTGACTTTTCACCGGATCGATGTCCATCAATATCCGATGATTCTTTGCATGTGTTTATAGGATATAACGCATAACACTCATTAATTAACTAGAATCAACATATGAGCCATTAAGGATATGATCGACATGATTAACACTCACTTGAAGTTATAGGAAAGAGTATATCCTTCTTGTGGTGTTGGTTCACTAAGAAGTTCATGAGGTTACTCTCGACTCGGACTTCCAATTAGTCTTTGGAGTAATTGGGTCTTGAATACTATATGGGGATCAACAAAACCAATTTCATTGCAGCCTTCCTTCTCGAGCCCTGTCATTGTAAATCTGCATATATATAGTACTTGTTAGGATAATTTATATGCATATACACACATATGATGAGTTTAATAATAGATCGAAAGAATTATTACTTTGAGGCAATAGCGACTAATGATAACTTTGTCCGAGAGAGGTCGGTGGCATAGTTGATGAAATTCGCAAAGTCAACATACATAACATCATCGCCATACGGAACCAATGTTCGTCTCTAATTCGACACCAACGTTAGAAGTCTCCTTTGGTAGACGCCTTTGCATGTACCACTTGTTTAGCGGTACATTTGCGTCCCCAGATCAAATAAGGCTTGAGGGTTGTATAGACTACGGCCTAGTACAAATTTTTCTTCCAAATATCAACCTCCGCCGCACTCTCAATGTTTCCATCACCAAACATCGGTAAAGGTCGAGACCGGTCTCATCAAGAAATTCACCAAGGTGATCCAAATCGACATCCAGGAGGAGGTATGTTTGCTCGATGCATTAATCCTAAATTCGAACCATATTCATTACCAACAACTAGCGGGGATTGATTGGTGCGCTTGTTGTCCGAGTTGGGCAATGCCTTTTTCTGCCCGCTTTTTTTACGTGCCGCCTCAATTGACTTGGTGAGAGTGCGGTCATAGTCCGATAACGTTGATTTGGACGACTTACGAGATTCCCGTTGTTGTTCTTTGGTAAGAAGTCACCTTTTTTCTTAGAATATCTGGAGCTACTCTGAAGAAGTACGGTTTCTCCGGGTTTCTCCTTGCTTCTTGATTCATTTTAAGTTTGTCATAGAATCTAGACATGTCTTTTTATATGCATCAGTTCCTTCTTCCTTCTCTTCATATATTATTTTGGGAATAGCCCTTGGTTTCACTTTGTGGCTTTCTTTTGGTGAGGGACCTGGTTCTTCGTTTGAGGGGTTGGCCTCTTGCTAGGCTTCTTGGTAGGCGGGGCGGGGAGGCGTTGGAGACCTCCTTGGAGGTGTTGGCGTGGCGTTGGAGACCTCCTTGGAGGTGGCGGCTGCTGGCGTTGGAGACCTCCTTGGAGATGGTGTAGATGCAGCCTCGTCTTCCAACATAATGTCATCGTCTTGAGCACTATGATGATCTGGCGATTGAACAATTGGATTTAGGTTGGGGAGGATCTGCTACAAAAAAAAAGGAATGACATATTATTATGAGGCGATTGTTAATTATTTAAGCCAATACAAATTAATGATGTAGTGTTTTCATCCGCACATACCTATGGTGAGGTAGTTCGGGGAGGAGGTGGAGCCGACATCCCTGGAATGATGATGTAGCGCTTGCGCCATAGAATGAATGTCTTCTCCGCTTCTCCTAGAGTCTTCTCGCCATCACCTCCGGGGAATGTCAAGAGGCAAATCACTAAAACCTTTTTCGACTTTATCTACCGAGATGGTAGCATATCCTTCTTGGATTATATTCCCATGAATCCTTGGTGTCTTGGTTCGGTCGATAGGATTAACAAGACCGATAGCCACCTTGATTGTAGAATTCTCCTTGAATGTGTAGCTCACACGTTGTACAAGGTTCGAGTGATCGTCATCCACAGGGAAGCACGATCCTGTGTCCCCTTGATTTGGTATCTCCGTGGAAGCGCTTGTTGCTTTTCAAGCTGAACAGATTGGCTAATGTTGATTTTCGGCTCGATGCCTTACTTGCACTCACCGCTATTTGCACTTGCCTTACGATTTCCTCCTGCATTCTCGCTTCAAGGTTTTTTCCCGCTCTGTGCTTCACGCACCGCTTCCTCCAATCTCTCGAGCCGCTCTGCCTCTTCTTCCTTCTTTCTCTGGCGACTTACAGTAAGAAGGTCATCTGAGGAATCCATGCTCCCACGAGACACTTCCTTTGCCTCTCTAGTTCGCCACCATGTTCAACAGTCCCGATGGCGTATGTCAGCTCATCTTCTCTCTCTGTTGGGCTTTGAGCGCACCACTAGTGAGTAGCTCTCCGAGCATAAAACAATCTTCTGCTGCTTCTTGCGGTCTTGCGCCATAAACGCACTTCCACATCTCTGGTCTAGTGTTCCCCATGACCGAAAAACCAATTCTTTGCATGTTCTCCCCACTCGAGTGATTCGGTATGATACCCTTGGCAAGAAGGTGCTGCTTCCATTTTGTTCCACTTCTTAATGGCGGTTGGGTAGCCACCGATCCCAAGGTATGGTGGTATGTCTTCTTACATTGGGCATTACGTTGGTTCTTTATCACCCGACTCACACCCTCTTCCGAAGTCTTGTCTTGTACAAACTCATCCCAATAGGGCCTCTGCTTTGAGATCGGGCCTGGGACAGTAAAATCTAGTGCTATGTTCTTCTTGACATACGTCGTGTATAGGTGTTTCTTCCAAGTCTGAAACTGGGTGGCCATCTTCTTCATTGCCTAATCCCTAACTCGCTCCTTCAATTCATCACCATCTATTATATCATCATAACCATCTGTTTGGAGCGTGAAATGTACCAAGACATCATTCCAAATTAACGCCTTGTCACGATCGGAGACAAAACTGATATGAGGAGCATTGGTCTTCTTCTTCCATTCACGGGTACTAATTGGGAGCCGGTCCCGTACAAGGTAACCATAGTGGTGCACAAATTTCATTTTATTCGGCCCCCCCGGTTCTCCTGTATCCACATTGAACTCCAAGATGATGAAGCGGCCCTCCAATGGCTTTTTGGGACCTCGAACATTTTTACTCTTCGTTGTAGTTGTTGATGTCGATCCAGAGGGCTACAAAACATAAACATTATTTTTAATGTCATGAGCACACATAAAGACATATGATAATATATATAGCTAATAATAAAAATATATACTTGGCCAATCTGTTGTTGCTCATTTTGTTCAAGAGCTAATCTTGACTCCGTCATCTACATCCTCTTGCACGTTATTTTAGCACCATCATCATCGCCGGCAACTTGAGTGCGGTGTTGATCAAATTCATCATCAACTCCTCCTCATCCATGTTTCTCGAATTGGCCATCTAGCT